CACACTATATATGTGAAACCTTGTTCCTACTTCTACCTATGTTGTTGGTACCTACCTGTCAAATCCTCCCGCTCCCTTGCATTCCTTTCCGGACCTGAGCAGATTCATAGATAATTCATCGATTCATACGGTGCAGAAAAGGCCCTTTTGGCCCATCAAGTCTGCACCGACATAACTACCACTCAAAGTGCACTCGTCCCAATTTCCTGCACTTGTCCCATACCCTTGAATGTTATGATATTTGAAATACTCATCCAAATATCTTTTAAAAGTTGTAAAGTTTCCAGCCTCCATAACCTTCCCAGGTAGTGCATTCCAGATTCCCACCACCCACTGGCTAAGAAAGTTTTTTTTACCTAAATCCCCTCTGAATCTCCTGCTCCTTACCCTAAAACTATGCCCTGTCATGATTGACCCCTCAACCAAGGGGGACAGCTCTCTCTATTCACCTTGTCCATACCCCTCACAATCTTATACGCCTCAATCATGACCCCCTCCGCCTTCTCTGTTTAAAAAAAAACAAGCCTATCTAGTCTCCCCTTGTAGCTCAGTTTCTCTATTTGAGGCAACATCCTGGTGAACCACCTCTGTACCCCCTCTAGTGCTGTCACGTACTTATTGTAGTGAGGTGACCAGTAGTCCAGTTGTAGCCTGACCAAGCTTTGTATGACTCCAACATTATCTCCTTTCTCTCATACTATGTGCAACGACTAATGAAAGCAAGTGTCCCATTTGCCTTCTTAACTAATCTATACATGTGCTGTGCCAACTTCAGGGATCTGTGAATAGTTACCCCAAGATATCTCTGTTCCTCTATGCTACCCAGTGTCCTTGGTCATTCATTAAATACTCCCTCATCTTGTTGTTTCTTCCAAAGTGCATTACCTTGTACTTACCAGGGCTAAATACAATCAGCCACTGGTCTGCCCATCTGACCAATCCATTTATATCTTCCTGTCACCTACAACCATCTTCTTCACTATTAACCACTCTACCAATCTTGGTGTCATCTGCAAATTTTCTTAATGCTCCCCCCATATTTTCATCTATATCATTTATGTGTATAACGAACAGTAAGGGTCCCAGAACTGATCCTTAGGTGCACAGCTGGACATCGGCCTCCAGTCATTCAAACCACCTTCTACCACAACCCAAGACCTGCTCAAGGTCTCGATGATCTCCCTTGGGCTCTTAGTTGTATCACTTGTCCTCTTGCAATGCAGCTTTCTGCAGGGTCAGTCCTCTCCAGTTTGCCTGGTTGCAGTGACAGTCTGAAATCTAGAGTTAAACTTGGGAGGTGGGCCAGAGTCAGGTTTCCACTTATGCATGTTTCAGTTTCCTTGGAATCCAGATAAGAACAGGTGGTTTCCACTGTCATTCTATATCATAACAACCTTCCTGCTGACTTTCTTTCCCCCCTGCTTCCAGTAATCTGTGAGCAATTGAAGTTCTTAAGACCGTCTGTATCCCACACTTCAGTATGAGGTCAGGTTTAGTGAGTTTATTCTGGACAGTCCTATGGAATACATACAATACTAAAGAACAACGGACAGCACAGCGCAGGAAAAGGCCCTTTGGCCCACCAAGGCTGTGCTGACGCACGATGCCTTTCTAAACTAAAAATCTTTTGCCTTTACATGGTGCGTATCCCTTGATTCTCTCCTATTCATACATCTGTCAAGATGCCTCTTAAACGTTGCTTTTGTATCATCGCCCTGTGGCAGTGCATGCCAAACACTTACCACCCTCTGCTTCTTAAAAAAAAAACTCCCCTGAACCACAGCCATCTGGACTTTTGCCCCTTACTACAGAGAATCGTGTCAAGCTCCCTCACTGTAGCATCACCTACCACTACAATCCATGTTGCTCCCCCACTTGAATAGCTTTCTGTAACATGATGTTCAGCTTGAACATACAATCTGTAGCCACTGCTCTGATCCAACAGGCTGAGAGAATCTCAAACCTATTGGACAATTGCAGAGGCTAACACTTCAGCTCTCTGGCTCCTCTTACCTGCCTCAGTCACAGTCACACCCTTCTGTCCCTGACTTTCAGAAAACCTTGTCCTAAGTGGTGTGACTGCCTCCTGATGTGAAGAATCCAGGTAAACTTTACTTCTTCCCGATGCATCACAGTGCCTGTATTTCAGTCTTCAGTCTATAATTTCTGAAACGAATCTGCTCGAACTTTACTTACTGCAGATATGTTTGCTGTAGATCCTGTAGCCTGTTCGCAGCACCTGAACTGCCAACCTTAATGAGGTTTAATTATGTATTGATCATTTACTTATGCTGTCTTTTATATATTTTATTAATTTTATTGCCAATTTGCATGTTATGTTAAAATTTAAGAATAGAAAGATCTTAACCAGTGTCTTATCAAACAGCTCGCTTCTTTCACTATAGTAGATTAAAAACCAATTCCAGTTAGCTCCACTGAATCGAGCTGTGTCTCTGCCTGCCTTTGGGTTCTAACCTCAACAGTCGCCGTCTATTTTTGTTGAATCATACTAGATTTTTCCTTTACCGTCCCATTGCTTATCTTAATGGTTGTACGTACACATGCAATAGCATGGTTGATTAACTAGCACAAAACAAGTTGTATTTCTATGGAATTAAAACAAAGTACCAAGAAAAACTCAGCTGGTCTGGTAGCATCTGTGGAAAGAGAAGCAAAGCTAACATTTTGAGTTCAATTCAGCTCCTTCAGAACCTTAGCCTTTGTCATTGTTTTGAGATGTTATTTTTCGCCATCCCAAAGCACTCATGGAAATTTTATCAGACAAAGAAAATGACAACAAAGGAGATATCGGATGTGAGTGAAAACTTAGTCCGTGATCAGTTTTAAGGAAGGTGTTAAAGGTGAAGGGAGAAATGCAAAGGTTTCAGTGAGGAATCAAAAGTCTAGGATTAACACAGGTGACAAAGGTGATGCACACAAAGTGTCAAAGTCAGATGACTAATGGATGTTGCAAAATTAGGGAAGGAGAGACCATAAGATTTAAAGATTAGAATTTCAGACTTGAGACATACTAGCTAATTCTCTGAAAATGAGACTGGTTTATTTTTTGAGTTATTTGTACTGATGCTGTACAAATCTAGTGTGTACGTAATGTGAACTTGTATACAAATATATAACTTACAAAAAGCAGGCCATTCAGCCCCTTAAGCCTGCTCCTCTATTCGATAAGATCATGGCTGATCTGATTGTGACCTCAATATCACATTCTCATCTACCCAATAAACTTTGACTCCTTTGTTTGTAAAGAATTATGCATTTCTAAATATTGAAAATATTGAATGACCTTGTCTGCACTGTTCTGTGGGGAGGAGAGTCTTTGAGTATGTTTAAAGTTAGTATTGTAAATCGTGTAAAGAATTATGAGGATAGGTAAAAGGCTTTGAAGTGTTTGATCATGTTAAATAGCAGATCAGACTCAATGGGCTGAATTTCCCACTGCTGTTTCTGTGTTACTATTAGAGATCCAAAGATTCATGACTCTCTGAGAGAACTAATTCCTCTTCGTCTCCAAATTAAGTGGAAGACTCCTTATTTTTAAAGCTGTGTCCTTCACTTTAGTTGTTTCCGTAAAAGGAAACATCTTCCAACATCCACCTTGTTTAATCTTCTCAGAATCATTTATGTAGGTAATGATGCCTCTTTAATGAACCGGTGCAGGCATGATGGGCTGAATGGCCTTTTCTGTGCTGTAACATTTGTGAGATTCTGTGATCTGTCTCAATGAAATCACCTGTTATTCATGATGACCTGTAATAAGATATTGGCACAATTAAATCTAGTTATTTCTTGGATATACCACAGGATAGCATGCCCCTTAAAATAGAGGGGTCTTGCAGCACATTGTCAGTGTCTGAAATCTGACCAGGAGGTCCAGGCTCGAGGTCCAGGCTCAAGGCCCATTTGTAGCTATAGCATGTCCAAACAGTTTGATTAAAACTAACTTATTTTAAATCCTTTAAGAATAGAGTATACAATTGCACTTTATATGGGGAAAAGAGTAATATTTTCCATATATGTATATTTTCAAATTGTGCTATCTGAAGCAGCAGTAGCAAGTAATGCTGGAGTATTGCATGTCTTGCACATTTCTATTGCCGTTACTGGGTAAGACTGCATCCAAGTTTATGAGCTGCACAATTCCTGGACGTTTGATGAGGTGTTATTATCTAAAACCAAAAATTCTCAAAGAACAGAGGAGCTTTTTTTTTTGTACCCATCTGACATCCCTAAAGTACAGTGAACTGGACGAGAGACATTCCCACCAGAGGTTCCATCATTCCTACACTCAGCTAACGAAAACTATGCCTGAATGATGCAGGAATTTTTACTCAGCCACCACAGCAGTTAGGATTTGATGCTAATTTTCTGAAAGAAATCAAACAACTTCTGTTAAAAAGAGGCAACAAGAAAAAGTGGCACTTGTTTAGTAATCCATTGATCGGCCAACTTTTCCATTGGAGCACCATGTTGCCAATCTGATATTCCTGCTTGATTGAAATTCAAGGACTGGTATGGGTGTTCAATTCCTTTTATAATTAATCCACCCTAAGATTCACCTTAGTGGTTAAAACAATAATTTTTGACAACTTTAATATACTCTTGGAAATAGAATAGAATATCCTTTATTGTCATGTGTACTCAATTACAGAAGTACAGGAGTACTGTACAGTTTTGCAATGTCATCTCGTATGGCAGCATCTTAGGTACAAGTACCTAGGTACAAATCTTAGATACAAAAGAGGAATAAAAAAGAAAAGTAGTTGCATTACTTTACAGTGTTTAAAAAATAAGTTAGAAATAAGATGTAGTTAAAGGATTGACATTACAGTCAAATAAACAAATTACTAATAAATCATTCACAGGAGGCTTAACAAACCCTGGAGCCTTAGGCACTCAAAGACAGCAGGTCCTTAGGTCCCTAGTTTACAATGTAATATAGCCATTAAGAGAAGCGTAAGAATAGAGTCACCTCACTGCAGTGGGGAAGGATATGATTCAGCCACAAGTTAACCTAGAAACATTGGAGACAAGTGAAGTAGGTGTTCTGGAAACATATGAAAGGCATGTCATATCAGCAGTTAGTGACATGAGATGAAAAATGTTTTCTTCAATGCACTTACTGTCACATGATTTATTTTGTAGGTCAAAATTTTCGTCTTGCCGCTTACTTTATGAAGAGGCATATGAACTTGAGATGTGTCACACAGCAGAATTATTGTGGTACGTACACATTTGAGAATGGTTAGAAGTTTAATCCCATTTCAACTTGAAAATATTTATTTTTTATGGATAGTATGCTTAAAAGTAATTGACTAAATTAAAAATGTTGCATATCATTAAAGTGCAGCTTTTGATATGAATACTTTGCTATTCAACTGAATGTATTTGATGTGATTTTCATGATGTATATTTGGTTGGATTTTCTATCCTATGTTTTACTGTACAAACAAAAATAATGAGTCCAAGGGCAGATTAGAATGTGACAAGAAAGAGAATAGCCATTGAATAATCCAAATGTTCTGGTCACATCACTGACCGATAGGCAGCATCCCAGAGTTGTTTCATAAGAAACAGGAAGATATATTTAGACTGGGCTAAGAACTGCTTCAGAGACACAACACTATAATGCCATATTATAAATGGGAAATCTGTCATTAAGAGGCTGTTAATGACTGTATAAAACTGTTGAGGAGCTCTGCTTTTGGGTGGAATCCCAACATATGGCAGAAGTTTTAAATGACTACTTTGCATCACTCCTCAACAGAAGATGATGCCAAGTTAATAATGCTGCAATATATAGCTGATGCTGAAATTGTAAATGTAAAAGTGAGTATGGAAACTGTCCTTGCTATAACAAAATTAAAACAAATTGTGCTATGTTACATTGGCTCATTAATGTAATGGGTTAAAAATTCATGTCACTACGGTTAAACTACCACCAGTTGTCTCTCTAATGAGAGGACAGCCGTATGATCTGGTAGGACTATGGTGACTTTTCTTTTAGTGGGCAATGTCTGAGATTAATTTGATGTACAGGGAAGGGGCCTGCAACATGCTTATGTTTAAAAAGGACAATGAAGAATTCTAAGAAGCTGCAAGTCAATTTTATCCTTAAGGTTTCTATACTTGTTTTGTAATTTCCCTCTCTCCTGTTCCAACTATTTTGTATTGCTGATCTGTAGTTTTATTTGTCAATTTATACTTTCCCTTAATGTGGGCAAGATGCATTTTCATGTTACTACTTTTTCTTTAGTCAAATGTTCTTGTTCTCTCTCTTTCTTTGTTCTGTTCTTAGACTGAACCTAAGTATACTGTGGTCACCATTTTAGAAATGTTTCCTACTTTTATTTGCCTACTTTCTCCATTTAATAAACCACATCAAGTCAAGTAGAATTTTCTTCCTTTTTGGATTATCAGCACATTAATTGAGATAACTGTTCTATATACACAGCACTCTTTGTTTTGAATCCACAAACATTTTATCTAACAAAATGTACTTCTGAATAATTAGAATTTCCTTTGTATTTTATTGAATTCTACATTATATTTGCATCAGAAAACAAAATAAAGTAATGCCAAAAGCCATGATTACCTTAGATCAGTCTTAAAAAGTTAGAGTTGACAGCTCCAGTTAAGCCTAATACTCACAATAATTCTTATTCTTCGACCAGATGTTGCTGTCTGGGGTTTACAGCCAAAAATGATCTGCAGTTAGCTGAGTCTATACTGACTGTGAGCAAACATGCCATCCTCCTTCGCCCGCCCGGTAGTAGGTCAAACTCCCACAGTATGTTAAATATGTCGAATACGAGAAAATAATATGACTTATCTTTAGGAGATTCCTCATTCTTCCAACTGTTCTTCACATACCAAAATGATTGCCCCCTTCCCCCTTTGGAATTGATTATATACATTTATACCACATTTCATTTTCTGCTCACTATGAGGAACGATTTGTTCAACAGCAGTTCCACACAGCAATAAAGCAGCCTTCATGAATAGTTAAAATAATTTAAATGGACTGTGTGCACACCTGAAGACAGAAAAGAATTCACCCTCTAATGCCCCCTCACCACTTTCCTTCCCCACTAAATCAGAGGTTTCTTTGAAAGGATTCATATATCTGGATAACCCCATCCTTCCACAATGGGATTGAACCTTTTGAAGACTTCTGTCAATGTTGTAACGTCTGAATTTTATGGAGTGAGGAAGGAGGAGTGTGGCAGACAATCTTATGTGGAAGTATCAGAAAATTCCCACCGAGTATGCTATTCGGAACAGAAGATTTGTTGAGCATGATTGGCTATGGCACTGCAGTAATACAACTTCTGCAATTACTTTTGAAGTAACATAACCACTTCACAGGAGTATTATCAAACAAAATTTTACACCAGGCTCCAAAAGCTGATGTTGAAGCTCGGTTGAAAAGTTAGCAAATGCACAAGAGGCAAGAATTGGAGGAGCGAGAGATCTCAGGATGGTGAAGAGGGAGAAGTGGGTGAGATACAGCAGTTGTAGGTCTAGAAGAGATTACAAAGATATGGAGAGGATGGGGTCTGGATATGGGGAAGCTTTTGAGGAGAGGTAATAAAGAGCTGCATTTATTTTTGCACACTTCTTAAGCTTGTATTGGTAATGTATAGGGAATTCTTTCCTTTCCCCCGCTTCCCTTTCTTTCCGATTGTGATTCCATATGATTATAGTACTACTCCTCTTGCATTTGGTATTGCCAAATTCTAAAATGTGGTTTCAGTGTTGAAAATTGTTTTTGCTAACCTAAAAACTGTGAATCTGTACATTTTAAAGGTAAACTTGCTTTCGAGGCTAGTGTACCAAACATTCTTAAGTCATATCCCACAATTAAGCAGAGCTTTGCTTATAAATTGTTAGTAGTCAACCTCATTGTGGTCCTTGAGTGAATTGAAAGTGTTTTTAATACACCAATGATTGTCCATTTGTCATCAGAAATCTTTCATAATTTGAAATACATGCTAGATTATCATTTTTGAAGAATCTTTTATTGGCGATAATCTAAGTGATTTTTAAAAGTTAATTGTCTTTAAATATGGCCAGATGGATAACGTATTCATGGTTCCCAGTTAGTATTTTCCTTCTTCTTAAAATGTAGTGTTCCCACGCCTACTTCATTTTTGTGAGTCCTTCCATAATATTGCTAGCACTAATGAGTTTGTTGTAAAGTTGTGTTAAAGCATCAAGTGAAAACTTTAATCTCTTCCCATTTAGGACTTCATATATTCCCTGATCGTTTTGTGGTTTGTATAACGCCATGTGAAACTGGTCTAAAAAGAGGAATTGCTGAGGAACAGATTGCTGTATGTATTTTTTTGGAAATTTTATGAAAATTTGTCAATAATTAAGCAAATTTTTATCTGGTTTTGTCACTTTTACAACAATATGCTAACATTTTAACTTTTAAAACAAGCTGCTTTCTCAATAACATGGTTTCGTTGCACTATACATCGGAAAAAAAATACAACATTCTGCTCTCGTCTCATGCCTTGCTGGATGTGAAGTGCTGTAATACTGCAGGGCTACTCTCTGCAAACCAGCATTCCCATCAGCTACGTTCTGTAATATTTCCTCGTTTTTATAGCTTTGCATTTGTGAATGGAGCAAATGTAGGTTTTCGATTTATTGGAACTGGAAACCGGGCATCATAAATTACTTCTAATTTAAATCCAGATAAAGCGTTATTTCAGGTATATTTTGAGTCTTTTTTTTTATTTAAAGTTAGTAGCAGGTAGATTAGCGGGTAACAAACACTGAGGTGCAAAATTAATCTACTTAACAATTACTTGATGTTACTCTTGTGTGAAGAATTGCATGTCTTACACTTTATATTTGCTCTATTTATAACCTTCTAAACAGGAAGTTAGAATGACCTACGTGATCTGAAAGCAAAAGAATGTTATGTCTTGAATAGAGACAGCTGTCCCCAGTTATTCGTGACACATGTAATACTTGATACGTTGAAGTTGTTCAATCCTCCTTCCATAATGGGAGTGGAAGCGCATACTTCACAAAATTCATCAAAAATCTATGAATGATAATTTCCTTACGATTTATGTAAATTTCTAAAATGCTCAAGCTGAATAAAGCAGAAGTTTTGAGGAACTAAATAAATGTCAAGGTGAAGTTTTTTTAATAATCTTTCTGTACGCAATAGAGATGCATAATTTAAGTTTAAACAGAATTGCATCATCAACAATCATTTAAAACTTATCATGTTTTCTATTGTGTTTGTAATATATAATTTTGATGGTTGTGAGGGCAGCTATTGCTAATATTTGTTGCCTATGACACACAATATGAAAGTGCTCTGATTTTTCATTTAAGTAATAATACTAAATGTATGTTCATTTTGTAATCAGTTAAATTTCAGTATTACACTGGATAGAAGAAGGAAGCAAGTTTGCCATACATTCTGAAACTCTGCACCAACATTGAATTTGTACCAGTAAATTGGATCTTAATAGAAAAAAGTACATAATCTGGGATTAGAATTTTAAAAGGAATTACATTTCATTTGCAGAGAAATTATTTACACCAAGCCTTACATAAATAAATATTTTTAAAATTATTTAGCCAAATGATAATCAGTCTGCTTTCTGAATTGAGTGGCAAATTGTTTACTTGTAAGGAATAGTTAAAGTAGTTCTTTGAAAAGTTTAAAAAAAAGGCTCTACAGCTAATGTAATGTAATCTCCTACATCTCTGATGTATTTGCTTGTTTGGCCACACATATGTAGCTCTCTAAGGCATAGATAGATTGCATTGCCGGTGGATATCACCAATTGTTCTGCAGTAGTTTAGTTATCTCCCTCAAAATATTCATAACAAGCAACTCAACATTATAATCCTGTAGAATTTATTCAGAAATGTCATTTTAAAATTATTTTTGAAAGTGCTTTGTTCTCAACTGTCTAGTTTAAGCTCAGTTCTGCAGTGTGCTTGGATGATTCAGTATATCATATCAAATTTGTGTAAGAGATTATAGTTAAGGTGGGGTGATTGTGAAAACTGTAGCACTGAGCTACCTTGGTTCTAAGACAGTTGGCCTGTTAGTATATAAACAGGGGAGTTCCTTTCAAAACATCGATGATAACTAAATACCAGAATTAACAAATTGCCTTACCAACTCTCTCCGGCTTTGAAAGGCCCCTCAAGACATACTTTACCATTTTTTTTCCTTCAGTTTCACATTTGAGTTGATAAAGCCCAATATCTTTTATTTTGTCCCCAATTTTGTGAGTTGTGTCGTTTTTTTTAAATCATTCGCAGGATGTGGGCATCGCTGGCTAGGCCAGCATTTAAGAGTCAACCACATTGCTGTAGGTCTGGAGTCACATGTAGGCCAGCCTAGGTAAGGGTGGCAGTTCCCTCCTCCAAAGGATATTGGTGAACCAGATAGGTTTTTCCAACAATTGACAATAGTTTCATGGTCATCCTTAGACTCTTAATTCTATTGAACCCAGATCCTCAGGTGGCACAGTGCCTCAGTGGTTAGCACTGCTGCCTCACAGTGCCAGGGACCTGGGTTCGATTCCACCTTCAGGTGACTGTCTATGTGGAGTTTGCACATTCTCCCGTGTCTGTGTGGGTTTCTTCTAGGTGCTCCGGTTTCCTCCCACAGTCCAGAAATGTGCAGGTTCGGGTGGATTGACCATGCTAAATTGCCCATAGCGTTCAGTGATGTGTAGATTAGGTGGGTTATTGTGGGATGGGTCTCGGTGGGCTGCTCTGAGAGTTGGTGTGGATTTGTTGGGCCAAAGGGCCTGTTTCCACACTGTAGGGATTCTATGATAATATTAGTTGGATTTCTGAATTAATAGTCTAACAATAATACCACTGGGCTATCATCTCCGCTAAAAAAAAGTGTGGATTCTGTTATTATCAGTTGCCACTTGGTGCCTTGTCAAAATGACTATTTTTGATGTCTGAACTCACGTGGTGAGTAGCGGCAGGTTATCGGGCTGCAGTACCATTGTGGTTGAACCTACTTTTATCCTCACACAGATGCTTAATCTTAGGTATTCCTCTTTCTGTTTGGCATTTGCAACATCACATAATACTGGGTCAAAAGATAAGGCTTTTAGGCTTTTACCAATACTGAAAAGGCATACAGGACTCAATATTAACCGTGTTTCTCTTTCCAAAGGTGCTGCCGTACCTGCTGAATTTCTCCAGCACTTCCTGTTTGTATTTCAGATCTCCCAACGTCCACAGTACGCTGCTTTTGTTCTACCAATACTGCTATTGAATGAGCAAGTTGAAGCAGTGTGAGAACAATGTTGAGTTATTCCCCTGGCAATTTGTCTTGCTTCATCCATGCAGACATTCTTTAAATGCTTTATACGAAGCTGGGAAATAGCTGGATGGATAATTTATCAAAGACCTGTGACCTATCACCTGTTGACAACTTTCATTAATATTTTTGGATTCACACTTGATTACGTATCTGCAGTGTTGGTGAACACTGATGCCAGACATTCATTTTCATTTGCTTAATCTTGTTATATAAAGAACACTTACCAGTATTTTGACCATGTTTTATCGCAGACTATCCGCAAGAATATGTTGTAGCGGATTTCTTCCTTGATCCAAATGTTTATCTTGGGTCATGTTGATCCTGAATGTCTCTTTGGGAGGCGTAATTAGCAGAGGGCCTTTTTAGTCAGTAGCTGTTTGAGGAGCGGAACTATCAGATCTATTAACTGGAGCGCTGTTGTCTTTCTTACTTTTTGAATCTATTTAAAAAAAAACTCATGGTTAGGCCAATGTTTTTGAGAACAGACAAAACCACAGTGATGTTTTATTGAACAAGCAAAGCAGAATGTGTTTGCTATTACTCTAAGCTTAGTCAGAGCATTTTTAAATGGTCCCTCATGAAGAACAGTTGTGGTTACAGCCAGCCATCTTTTAAAAAAGTTAACAGGCAGCTAAATTTGTTCAATAATATTGTGACCATACTCTTCCAGATAGGCTAACTCTCCTAACAACTCTTCTGTATTCTTTTATCTCCAGCTTTTTTTTTTACTGTACAGATCAGACAACCTATTGTTAAAAATAAATGCGTTTGCACATTAACTGCCTGAGCAACTATGATTTTTCAGAATATTCATCTGACATTCTTTCTTCTTGTTAAACTATCCTGGTTAAAAAGCCATCTTGATTACCACTGATAGTGTTGAGGCTCTTTATACTTTGTGAGTCTTCTTATCTAAAGGTTACTGTTACCAAGATTTACGCTGACGATATGAAGATGTGTATGAATGTGGTTCTGGGCATTATCCCTGAACTGGAGTTTCTCACCACAATTTTTTTAGGCAGTAAATGACTCTGATTCACCTGTACACAGCTCCGTTAGAAACCCTTTTGTTGAAGATGGTGGGGATGGAGGAGAATTAGATTAGAGTCCGAAATAGGTGACAAATCAGCTAGTAATCCTTGTACCTGATTACCTGTGTGTATATAATCTGAAATAATGTACCAAAGATTATCAGTACTAGTGCTGATCTTGCTTCCCTAAAGATGGAATTCACTGTATATGTATGGAAGTATGCAGAATGCCATTTTGGTAAAGTGGTGATATATATAAATGACTTGGGTGGAAACGTAGATTGGTGGCTTAGGTAAGTTTGCAGACAATACAAAGATTGGTGGAGTTGTAGATAATGTAAAATATTGTCAAACAACACCGGGATAAACTCACTCAGAGATAGTAAGAATTGCAGATGCTGGAGTCAGAGATAACACAGTGTGGAGCTGCAGGAACACAGCAGGCCAGGCAGCATCAGAGGAGCAGGAAATAAATAAAGAGAAGAGGGGTGGAGCTGGGAAAGGTAGGTGGGATGGTGATAGGTGCGTGCTGGTTGGCAGTGGTCGGTATTGGTCAGTGAGGTGGGAGGGATGGATAGGTGGGAGAGAAGGTGGACAGGTTGTGTCAGGTCAAGGAGGCAGGGATAAGAGGGAGGGTTGGTCATGGGATGAGGCTGGAGTAGGGAGATTTTGAAACTGGTAAAATCCACATTTAGGCCATTGGGCTGTAGGCTTCCAAGGTGGAATATGAGGTGCTGCTCCTCCAGTTTGCGGGTGGCGTCATTGTGACACTGGAGGAGGCCCAGGATGGACATGTCATCTAGGGAGTGGGAGGGGAAGTTGAAATGGTTTGCGACTGGAAGGTGTTGTCATTTGTTGCGAACAGAGTGGTAGGTGCTCTACAGAATGATGAGACCAAGTGGAGGCTTGGAGACCAACGTAGAGGAGGCCACATCGGGAGCAGCGGATGCAATAGACCATGTTGACGGATGTG